TGTTCCACTCGGTCACATCGACAGGGTCAGGCTATATATATCCACTGGTCAAATTTTGGAAAACTTTTCGAACCTCCTCGCCCACGCTTAGCCCGCTCTGCCTCCCTGGGTCTCCGGATCGTCCTCCTCGTCGCCAGCCGCCTCCTACCGCTGGTCTCCGCCGCCGTCAACGGGATCATCTCCGCCGTTGCCGCCGTAGCAAGTCCATCACCGAACTAGGGTATGGACTTGAACTTTGTGCTGTTCTAAGTCCAATTCCCTAGCACATTGCTTTGCCATGTATCTTGCCACGATTGGGATCATTCTATCCATCGAAAACACTCCATTGTTTAGTCGTGAATTGAAAATTTAGGGTTAGGTTTCCGCCGAAACCATCTCGGACCGACCGAGTTGATGAAATTGGTTCCACCGATTTGGCTTAGGCCATTGCAATTGTGATTCTCGGTCTGACCGAGAATTGCAAATCGGTGTGACCGAGTCTAGCACTTTGTGAAACCCTAGCAGTCTCGGTGCCACCGAACTGTGACTCGGTCTGACGAGTTCACTAGTTTAGGTTCCAAAAGCTGCTTCGGTATCACCGAGTTTGCAAATCGGTAGATCTGAAATGCTTTCTGTGGAAAACTAAAACTAAGTTTTTAATTCATTCTTTTGCAAAAACCTCTGTATTTTGTGATGCTCATCCACTCTACCTCATCTATAATCTATTGACAGGGTCAGTTGTCAGTGTTTGCAATATGTCTGATCAAAGTGACGGCCAGAACAGGGAAGAGGAGCAGGTTCACATGTGTGAGGGCACTAGTCCCTCTAGCAGCTCAGATGATGGCAGCAGGAGCACACCAAGCAATCTGCCAAAGGCTGCCACCAGGGCCAGCAAGAAAAGAACCTCTGAGTCAGAGGATGAGGACTATGTGGCTGAGGAAGAAGAAACCACCTCAAAGAGGAAAGTCCTGAAGAAGGAATATAGCACAGCTACTGCCACCAAGCCAGGCATGAAGCAAAAGGTTCCTACCAAAAGAGCTCCAATGTCTAAAGCCAGAGCATCCACTCAAGAGACTTTGGGATCTGCACCCAAAGAGCAGGTTGTGGAAGAGAAGAAGAGGAAAGAGAGGGTCAAAAAGACCATTGCCAGAGTTCTTGGGAGATCCTCAATCATGAGAGACTCTGAAGAGGAAGAGGAAGAAGATGTTGCACCAGTACCTAAGGCACAGAAACTTATGGGAGATACCATAAGGCCAGGGGATGTTACATCTAAGCCTAAGACTGCTCCTAATACTTCTGCTCCAGCTCCAAAGACAAAACCAAAGAGGAGCACCAGGAACATCCCTGCTGAGGAGAAGAACACGGCCCCAATGCCTGAAGCTGCAATGGAAGAAGAAGATGATGAGTCACATGTCTTGAGGAAATTGAAGCCAAAAATTCCAGATCACAATGATGCTCATCCAGTAGCTGAGAACATGAAGATAAGGAAGGATTCAGGATTGAGGCTATGGAGGGAGTCAGATCCATATGCCACCAGAAGGAGAACTGTTGTGGACTACAGGTTCCATACCAAAGAACAACAGGATTTTTATGAGACAGTGTTGCTTGACAAGAAGCCCATAGTGTGTGACATGAGATGAATTGATTGGAAATTCATTGAGGAAAACGAGGATCACTTCCCTGGTGTATATGACAGCTTCAAGGCTTGTGGAGTTGATGAGTTTGTGGCTCAGAAGCTCACAAAATGGAATGATGAGCTCATCATGCAGTTTTACTCCACAGCTCACTTCTACCAAGATGGAAGGATTGTCTAGATGTCTGAAGGCACTAGGTACCAGTCAACGGTTGCTGAATGGGAGAAATTGATCAATGCTCTAGAAGAGAGAGAAGATGACTTGGATGTCTATGCCAAGAAGAAGAAGGATCACAACACCATGGCACACATGTACAAGGAGATCCCAGATGCTGGTCTTGAGACACACAAGTTTGGATCTGTACATTACCTTCTGTCAGGCTTGCCAACTATCAACTGGATCCTCAGGAACACTCTCTTGCCAAAGTCAGGTGATCACAAGATGATCAGAGGTCACTCCATCAACTTGCTGCACATTTTTGATGTTCCACAAAAGTTCAAGGTCATGAGCCTAATAGTGGAAACCATAAAGAGGACAGCTGCAGATCAGAAGAGGAGTTGTGGGTATGCCCCACATATCCAGGAGCTGATTAACTCCAAGATGGGCACTGGCACATATCTGCTGGACAAGGAGCACCTGCCCATCGACCCAGAATTTGAGGACAACACTGTGGTGATGGATGAAAATGAACCATCTTCTGTGCACGCACAAGCCAAGAAGGAGAAGGCAAAGGCTGAAAAGGCTGCAAGGATGCCAACTACTGAAGAAGCATCTCAGTATCTTCTGAAGAGCAAGCAAGATCAGCTTGGCTACTTGATTGCATCCACTCTAAGGATTGAGAAAGGGATGGCCACCCTGACTCAAAACCAGGAGAGCTTGGAAAGGATCATAGAGAATAAGTTCTATGACATGGATGTGAAGGTAACTGAGATCCAGTCTGTTGTGGAGCAACTTCAGGATGATATGCAGGAGAGGAAGGGCGAGACAACCACTGATGCATTTGCTAGAGTGCCTAGAGCTCAGTGGTCAGCTGCAGTGCCAGTTCCAGACACCAAAGCCACTTCATTTGCACCAGCTACAGCTTCAGTGCCACCAGCTCCAGCACCTACTCCATCAGCTCCATCTACATCGACTGAAGCCTTCATTCTTGGAGTTATCTGGACACCACCACCTGAAGACCAAGCCTGAGAGACGATTTAGTGCTATGCATTTTCTAGGAACTTTTTGGTAACTTGTTGCCAAAGGGGGAGAAAAATGTATAGATCATAGGCTTTGAGAGAGAGTGTTGCTTTTTTATTCTCTCTTGCTTTGGTGGTTGAACTTTATTTGCTTGTTTGAGATACTTTCTGTCTGTGAGATACTTGGATGATCATGTGTGTTTGATCATATGCTACATTAATACTTGTTGGATGACATTATCATTTTATCCTATATGATCATTCACTTTGCTTGGTGATGAGTGCATGTATTTAATTATTATCATTTTGAGCGCTCCACCAAGATGTATGTGACATGGAAGAGTAACCCATGAGCCTAACTCTCTGTGCATTTGCAATCCAGAGCAAATCATAAACTATGCACAAATTTAGGGAGAGCTCTTGCTTTTCACATACTTCTCAAAGCGACAATGTTTTACACTCTTATTATCATTCGTCGAAGCTTTGATCTATATGTTGTCATCAATTACCAAAAACGGGGAGATTGAAAGTGCAACTATCCCTAGGTGGTTTTGGTAATTCCTAACAACATATAGCTCATTGAGCTAACATTATTCCAAGATTAATATTTCAGGAGAAGCTCAATGAATGGCATGGCATGGATGAGGAAAGTGGACCCCTCAAAATACAAAGGACAAAAAGATTGGCTCAAGCTCAAAGCTCAAGACTCTACATTTTATATTTTAGTTATCCAAGATCACATTGAGTCTATAGGAAAAGCCAATACTATCAAGGAGGGATGAGGTGTTGCTTGTTGAGGTTCTTGCTTCATAGTGCTTAGTGATATGCTCCAAAACCCTCAACTACCTTCCCACATCCACATATGACCTAAACCAAAAGTCAAACTCGGCCCCACCGATTCTTTCTATCCGGCGCCACCGAGTTCAGATGTCATAGCCACTGCCACAAACCCTAGGCAAATCGGTCTCACCGATAGGGATCTCGGTCACACCGAGATGGGGTTGTAATCTCTCTGTTTCCCTTCGTAACGTTTTGGTCCTACCGAGACGAGCGATCGATCCCATCGAGATTGCAATGTAAACTCTCTGTTTCCCTTTTGTAACATTTCGGTCCCATCGAAATGAGCGATCAGTCCCACCGAGTTTACCTGACCAACTCTCTGGTTAGCTTATTACCAAAATCGGTCCCACCGAGTTTGTGTAATCGGTCACACCGAGATTACGTTATGCCCTAACCCTAACCATATCGGTCCTACCGAGTTGCATCTCAGTCCCACCGAAAATCCTAACGGTCACTAGGTTTGCTAAATCGGCCGACCGAGTTTCTCAATTCGGTCTCACCGAGATTGGTAAATTGTGTGTAATGGTTAGTTTTTGTGTGGAGGCTATATATATACCCCTCCACCCACTCTTCATTCATGGAGAGAGCCATCAGAACATACGTACACTTCCAATATACATTTTCTGAGAGAGAACCACCTACTCATGTGTTGAGACCAAGATATTCCATTCCCATCATATGAATCTTGGTCTCTAGCCTTCCCCAAGTTGCTTTCCACTCAAATCTTCTTTCCACCAAATCCATATCCTGTGAGAGAGAATTGAGTGTTGGGGAGACTATCATTTGAAGCACAAGAGCAAGGAGTTCATCGTCAACACACCATTTGTTACTTCTTGGAGAGTGGTGTCTCCTAGATTGGCTAGGTCTCACTTGGGAGCCTCCGACAAAGATTGTGGAGTTGAACCAAGGAGTTTGTAAGGGAAAGGAGATCGCCTACTTCATGAAGATCTACCGCTAGTGAGGCAAGTCCTTCGTGGGCGATGGCCATGATGGGATAGACAAGGTTGCTTCTTCATGGACCCTTTGTGGGTGGAGCCCTCCGTGGACTCGCGCAACCATTACCCTCCGTGCGTTGAAGTCTCCATCAACATGGATGTACGATAGCACCACCTATCGGAACCACGACAAAAACATCCGTGTCTCCAATTGCATTTGAATCTCCAAACCCTTCCCTTTACATTCTTGCAAGTTGCATGCTTTATTTTCCGCTGCTATTAGACTCTTTGCATGCTTGCTTGAATTGTGTTAAGATTGCTTGACTTGTACTAAGATAGCTAAGATCTGCCAAAGACTAAAATTGGGAAAAGGCTAGATTTTTATTTGGTCAAGTAGTCTAATCACCCCCCCCCCTCTAGACATACTTTCGATCCTACAATAGCTTATTATTGACCCAATCCCAACCAAAACCTCTTTGAGAAAGGATCTTGTTAATGATTTCAAATTGATTGTCGAAAGTCCTAAGCCTTCCTGATATGTTGTTCTTCGTGATATCCTTATTGCACTTCTCCTTCACATTCTTGATAGCAGCACTATACACATGTGCTTTCCATCCATTTTGTGAATGGTCACCCATGTTGTGATGATGAACAAGTACCTCAAGCAAGGCAGCGTCCATCTCATCATCCCATGTGACATAAGTCCACTTTCCAGTACCAGTTCCTTCAGCCATGCTGCTACAAAGAATAACAATTTTGCACAAAGGAGAGAAGTATTTTGGGTCAAATAAATGCTGAATGAGAGTGCAAATTTCGAGAAAATCCATCACATATATATTAATATGAAGATGATGCATGTACAAAAGACCACACAAGGCACCATCATGGTCAGCCAAGCTATCACACAAAAGACAATCAGCAAGCTAACATCATCACCTAGGCACTACCAATATGCATGAGACAACCACCACCCAGGCACTACACAAAATGAGACAACCACCACCTAGGCACATCCACTAACTAATCCACCATCAACTAACTACGTGTAACACCCCAAAAATTTTAACCATGATTTGTTTATTAAAATTTTGCCAAGAAATTAAATTTTCATTTTTGTGGATTTATCTTTTGATTTCAGAACCACTCTTTTCTTTGATATTGTGGAGTTTTCACCCCAAGTGAAAACTTTTCAAAATTATTGTTGGACTTGTTTACCCTCTCAAAAAAACATTTCTTTTATCAGTGGATTTATTTGCATAATTATTTTCCCTGAGCTTTATTTCTTTAAAAATGATTTTACATAAGTTTTGGAGCCTCTTTTGCACTACAACCCTTTGATAAAATTAGTTATAAGTTTCACCAAAATTTGGAGATGTCATGGGATGCTCCCACATCACTTGTATGCAAAAATCTCTTTTAGTCATTTGGAAATTTTGAGCTCTACCCCAAGTTTTCAAATCTGGTCCAGTTTGTAAAATTGCACTACAACCTATTTAAATATTTATTTAAAGCTTCCACCAAAATTAGGGGATGTTAGTAGTAGTGTATAATTCATTTTTATGCAAAACCCCATTGGTGTTCTTTGAAAAATTTGAGCAAATCATCCTCTTTTGCTCTCTGGTCCAGTTTGGCATTTTCTACTGCAACACTAGTTTATTTTGCTCTAGTGCCCATGAGCTTTTTCCTGCTAATAGTCCACCCTACCAAACCCTTAAGTCCAGGAGATTGGACCCATTGGAGGATTTTAAGTACATGAAATAATGCCCTTTTCTTCCTGTCCAGATTTGGTTTTCTCAAAAACTTGCACTAACAAGTTTTTGTTTTTGACAAACTAACCTTGCCACCCTCTTTATCATCTAAAGAGACTATGATCTGGAGATTTTGGCCACCCCAAGAGATACCTAGATGACCATAGCATTATGTCAAACACCCTGTGTGCATGGCCACTTTTGGCTTGGTTTTTAGTTTGCATTGTGGACTTGATCCCCTGACCAAACCACCATGTCCACTAATCTCCTTGCAAACTCTAACCTAGACATGTTAATCCCCAGCCTCATCCAAGCCCTCTAGCATGCGCTGGCATTATGTCGAGCACCTCGTGTGCGTGATCTGGGCGTGCCCAGAGTGCATGTTTTGCACGCGCGCGCACCGAGCCGCCGCGCTCGCTTGCCTGGCCTTTGCTCTCCTGCAGAGCCACGCCCGTCCTCATCCACTCATCAGAGCCATCCAAGCCACCCCCTGGCGCCCTACAGCGCCGCCGTCAGAGCCCCTTGGCGGCACGCCGGCGTCTGCAATAGGCTCCTGCCATGGACGGTGCCGCCCGAGCCACAGCCGTGCGCCAGCTACCCCTGGAACAGCCCGAGCTCATCCATTCGCTCCTCCAAGCCGCCTCCTGCATCGCCACATCGTCATCGGCCACAAGAGCAGCACACCGTCGATCTTATCCCGGGCCGCCGCGGAACCGACCTAGTCATGCTATAAATAAGGAGCCCCGAGCTCGTCCAGACCCTTAGGTAGCCTCAAGCCATCTCCCTAGCGCTCCCACAGCCAACAATCGACGAAGGGAGGCTTTCTTCCTCGTCTCCGGCAGGTTCGGCCGCCGCCACGCTCCGGTTCAATTCGTCGAAAGCAGGACCTCCCCCGTCCATCCAGTGCTCCCATCCTCTTCCCCTTGACCTTGCGGAGCCACCCCACCCCTCAGCTTCGATCGGGAGCCATCGTAGCTTGAGTCCCCAATCCACCAGAAGCCACCAGCCGCCGCGGAGCTCGCCGCCGGCGACCCACTCCACCCCCGCCAACCTATCGACCATTGGGAGGACCGCCCTGGACTGGCGGATCCATCCCTGCCCTCGAAAGCCCGTGGGGAGCCGCCGTTCATCGACGGCGATCGTCGGAGCCCCACCTCTGCTCAGCTAGAGGAGAAAGAAAATGCGGGCGACTGGTCAAACCAAACCAGTGGGCACAAGGGACCCACTGGCAGTGACCCAGCGACGGCCCGCGCTATTTAAGTGAAGACGTAAAACCCAGAGTACGTCTTCTCTGCCTCGAAAAAGTATCAATCCTCGAACCGTTTCCTTTTTCTGTTTTATTTAAAAACAGAGTTTTAACTAAACTTTGACTGGCTATAACTTTTTAAATATAAGTCCAATTGATTTGATTCCTTTTCTATTGTTTCTCAAATTTTGTCTAGTTTATTTTCATATTTATTTGAAAAAATTTCAAACAACTTTTTTGTACTGTTTTGGGTATGGTACTCCCTCTTTATCAGTTCGATGTTCAATCAGCATTCCTTCACGGGGATCTTGACCGGATGTAAGTCAAGATTGCTATTATCTTTTTAAAGAACATAAACTTCAAAGCTTCTAGTCTGTCCCAACTCTTTCGAGCCGCTCTCCCAGTCAACGCTCGAAAGTTTGTTGTGTCCGACGTTGGGCAAACTATATGTTAATTGGAATTTCTCTTAAATAGGATTTTGGAGAGGGAAACAACTTTCAAAAAGTGCACCCCACTTGCATACTCTTGAAGGCAAGCATTCTGAACCCTAGCATAATATTGTTGTGTGTTGTTTGATACGGTTACAACACCATCTTGACACGAAGTATTCATTATTTTATGTGACGAAATAATCATACTCATGAGTGCGCAAATGAAGATTTCTTGCGGTTAAAATTTGACATGCTTGTGATAGTAATCACCATCGTATGCCTTTCATGCCCACCAGAAGGATCCCGGGAAAGCCTCTGTCTTGGGTAGACACGAGCTTGTCCCTAGTTCTTCGTCGAGACAGGTGTGTCCGGTAAGGCATGGTGAGGTATGATGAGTGGTGGTTCTGTCTGATTGGTGTGAGATATATTTCTTATGCTTATCATGCAGGAAATGCTTTAACCTCCTGAGTCCACCATAGATCGAGTCTTGTTCAAGTAACCCCCATACTTGTCTCATACTACCACTTGTCCCTGTTATAGGCATGGTACGGTTCAGTCAGTTGTCAACCCCTTCCTAGCACACACCGTACAGAGAGGCCATGGTGGAAGATACCGGCTGCATCCAGTAGGCATGCCACCTGGTCCGGGGGCATGGGTGGTTCGGTTGGAGCCGAAGGGGGTAGCTCCCCTAGTTTGTGCGCGTTATAAATTTTGTGATCCCATGCTAGTCGAGGTTGTAGCCTCCCCACTTAGAGTTTCGCTTAATGGGTGTCTTGGGCGATTCCAGACACCGGTAAGTTAGGCTGGTGTGTGCAGTCAGGTGTGTTTTCAATTAAAATACCATAGACGGAATTAGTCCTGATGGACTAAAGGAATCCATTACTCGTGGGTAAAGAGTACACCCTCTGCAGAGATTATATCTACTCGAATAGCCGTGTTCATGGTTAAGGACTACAGTCTGGGATGGGTCAAGTATCGGTCTTCGGAGGAAAGATGGCTAAACCAAAACATGGATCATGACATGTGACTCATGATGATTATGATTACTATTATTATGGACTAACCATTTACCTTATTTGAATCATTGAGTATCCCTGGGACGGTTCAACCTCCTGGATATTCACTGTGATTATTCTCATATAAGCCCTTTATGCGGTGTCGCGGAGACGCCCGACTGTGGCATGCTTGTCATTCAGATTACTTTATAAGCCCTTTATGTGGTCTCATAGAGACTCCCAACTGTGGCATGCTTGTTATTCATTTACTTTATAAAGTCCTTTATGTGGTGTCGCTGAGACGCCCGGCTGTGGCATGCTTGTTATTTATTTACTCTATAAGCCCTTTATGTGGCGTCGCTGAGACGCCCGACTGTGGCATGCTTGTTATTTATTTACTCTATAAGCCCTTTATGTGGTGTCGCATAGACGCCCGACTGTGGCATGTTTGCTACTTATTGATTTTATAAGCCCTTTATGTGACGTCGCTCAGACGCCCGACTGAGGCATGCTTTATATTATTATTCTTTCGAGGCGTCGCTTCAGACACCCGATCGGTGCATTCTGTTTCTACTCCCTTACGGCATATTCATGTTGTAGATGAATAACCTGCTACGTGCATCATGGATGTTTATTTTGTAATGGACGTGTGATCATAGAATATTTCAGAGCATGATTATCATTTGTTATATTATACATGTGTTCATAATGTTTGCGAGTACATTCAAAACTACTCACGGCCTTGTCCCTGGCTAATGTCTTGGCCAGATTTCTTGCATGGAGAGGAGCGTCACGATGACAACCTCGGAACCTACGCAATGGTGATAGAAGCCTCGTGAAGATAGAAGTTATCCACGTCGGCTGTTCTTGTGGGAAATGGAGTCCCATAGACGCTGATGATCCCCAAACCGCTTCCGCCATCAACCACTAGAAATCATTTGTTGTACTCATAGGCCAGAATGGTTTTGTACTACATATCTTGTATTTTGCTTGGAGTTTCTGTATCAAGTTGGTGCCTCATCAGCTAACAGTGATCCTGGGGCTGGTGAGCACAAGGGCCATTTTCTAGGAAATTAATATCCCGAAAATCCAGTCCTGACACTACGCCATCTCTAATTCAGCATGCCTGAGAAGGTATTCAGCATACATGTCTTGCGATAATTGTTGCCTAAAGTTGGTCCATTCATTAGTGACTTGAATAGATGTAATCAAGTCAGTTTCGTCCACGGGCTCATGTTCCAAATTTGCTAGGTCAGCATCAACTCCTTGCAACAATAAATCATCCATCATATGCTGCCTATCCCTTGAAAAGTT